ATATTTAACATACAGCATTATTTAAATACATTTAACATTTAGCATACAATTATTAAAAGTCAAAACAGTATACAAATTAAATTTTATAATTGGAAAAAGATTGTTCCTACGGGGCTGAACATTGACCGAGATTTGAAACCAGGTGTTTTAAACCACCACTGGTGCTGTTAAGCATTCGCCGCAAAATAGCGCGGTCCTGCAACAGAATATTTAAAAAAGAAAGCACAGTGCAATACAGTATGTATACCACATTATGCTGCATTATTTGTCATGTATTCTGAATTAATGGATCTGTATATTGGTGACTTTTTATCACTTCAGTCTCACTGTCTTCAGTATATGCATTTTGTAGTGTTTTATGTAAAAAGAAAATTGAAATTGAAAATTGAAATTAGTCTCATGCCTCAGCTATATAGACAATTTGTCTATACTGAATAATTTATTTCCAGTTATCTCCAAAGGAATGCAGGCAGTATTTATACATCTAACACTATATCCAATTAGCACAAACTGTAATGTTTGAATACAAATACTAAATACTTTAACAGTTCCATCAAGTTGTGGTGGTGAAGGTAATATGCCTAGGTAATGTGCCTATGTAGCTAAAAGTACAACAGAAAGCTTTCAAAATAATTGAAAATTAGGCTCTTCAATGTCAAAACGAAAAAAGTATTTTACACTTTAATGAGATATAATGTATCCTATGTAACACCTTTGTAGTGGCTTCAATTGACATTGTGACTGTATTTTGATTGTTTCAAAAGATGTAACAACTACATAATGTTCCATAACATTTGTTAAAATACATGATAGTACAGTAAGTCTCAGAGATACAATAAATATTATCATTGATGTTGCCATTAATATAGTCATGTTTTTAATTTCAAAGAATGGTCATAAAAGGTTAATGACATAAAGTATATATATGGTATGATCATTCCATACATTTTCTAACCACTTTATCTAGTACTGGGTCATGGAGGAGCTGGATTCTAACCTGGTAAGCAAAGGGTGCAAGGCAGGATACACCATAGACAGGGTATTAATAAAGTTATTCATGTTCATTTTCTTTACTGAGTCTCATTCTTTTGAAGGAATCTGCTAAATTTATTCTACTTTCATCATCCTCACACTCTTGATTTGCCATATCGCTCATCAGCATGGATAAGTGGCCTAAGGAGCCAGACTCAAGGAGTCGAGTCTTTCCAGCTCACTTGGGTGTTCTGGTCTCTGAATAAAGGTGTGGGCTCAAATCCCACTCCTGACAGTTAAACTTTGCCAGAGTTGCAGCCGTTTTCCCCTGCAACTCACAACTGGCAACCCACTGAAGCTAAGCAGGTGTGAGCATGGTCAGTACCAGGATGGGAGACCTCCTGGGAAAAGCTAAGGTTGTACAAACTGGTGTTAGAGGGGCCAGCAGGGGGCACTCTCTCGGTGGTCTA